CTCTCACGAGTCAAAATTGTGGCCTGGCTTCCTTCCTGCTTGTCTGTGGTTTCTCAGCAATGTACGATGCAATTTGCTTGAACGACACGATATATATTTTAAAAAATAGCATTATTATTTTTTAAGGCTAAGTTTGTACTTTTTCAGTTGGTGATCTAACACAAAGCTGCGTGCATATATACACTCTGTGTCGCGATGTCGCGTGGCTTGCAAGACAAGAACGGAGGACTAAAGACAAAGATCCCCCTATATCCTGAACATTTGGGAAAAGTGCTGTTAGCGAGCACCTATGAAGGCCGGTACGGTACACAAGGACCGATCCTTTGGTCATCAATCATGCCGTCACGCTGTCTAGAAATCAACTTTTTACAGTGCATTACCGATCTTAAGTTTTTGCGTTGTTAAAAGAGAACTGGAAAACTGATATTTAAGATGCTGGCAACCTGCCCCCCCCTCCTCCCAGAGCATTGGCGGGTCCAGTTCTTGAAAATGCCGGTCTGGAGCCGAAGTGAACAGCTGCAGAGCAGATGACTGCTGCGTAGGACATGCAGCTGCCCAAAATATGCGTCGTTGCACACGAGTCACCGAAAAGACTAACTTTAACTACGCGCAAGGCAGTCCCTGCAGGAAGACAGTGCACACATTATTGCTGATATGTGTGCATATACAACATAACGATGATTATCAGTGCCTCCGAACAAGTAACCCGGAATGCTCCCTCATCATATAAGATCTCGGAAACTAAGCAGAGTTGAGACTTGATATGTGCTTGGATGGGCAACCACTATGCACAGCAGAATGTTATAGGCTGTTGGACTACGTGATGGGCAACAGAGGGCAGGGTAGTTAAATCTATTTCTGTCCTGAACTTCTATGCTCCCACATCTATGATCTCTACCTTTAACCTGTCGCTTCACCATCATCATCGGAATTCCCAAAGCATATGTTCTTTTTGCACTGCCCAGCATGGTCAAGCATGGTCAAACAACACCCCAAACACGAACACAGGTTGGGGAAGCTGTCATTCAGCAGTGGATTGACAAGAGGCCGGAAATGACGAGTAATTGTTTCCAATGTGGTTGTTGAATGTGCATCATTCAAATGAACTGAGAGTTGTTGGGTCTAGAGCACACACGTGGAAAAAGATGTGCATCATCCCCGAGTGCAGTGGTTCATAAAACTTTACTTTTTCACGTACATTACCACAAATTATTTTAACGTGTAATCTGATTAGTAACCTGCAATTTTTTCACATGACCAGAGGCAATATTTTAGTTACTAAGCACAATTTCTGTACTGTAAATGGATACATGATCAGGTATTATATACACAGCTTATAAGGCGTGCTTATATACACATTTTACCGTATAATATAAAAATGTACAATACAAAATTCTAAACGTAAGATGTTTGCATACATAATGTACATACACAAACGCAACTCATGCCTGCCCAAGTGCAAATGGTAACATAATACAGTACACGAATACATAAAATGCCATACGTACATGCACAGATGCAATCGCATATACAGATAGACCCACCGATGAACACATTCCAACACATGCAGCATACCTGCATACTATTTGGCCTGTTACTTCCAGACTGTTCAGGTACCACCGCTGGGTACGCATACTGGTTTGGAACCCTACAGAGTTCTGTATCTCCTACTATTTTTAAATTTTAACGGGTAAGGCCCATTGAGCTATAAGGCGACCTGGCCATCACAAATGATAGCTCAGTGAAGTTGCTTATCGTGCGGACATTTATCGGAACCAAGTACTATAAACGCGTGTTTCTAAATGTGGAGGGAAAACCCGGAGGACCCGGAGAAAAATCCACGCGGCCACGGGTGAAAGAGACAAATATAGAGGCGTCAGGGTCGGGATCGAACCCACAACCTCCCGCATACAAGGCGAGGTAGTTAACATCTCCCTCACGTCACGGTGGCGAGATAAAAAAAATCACTAGTGGGCACCTAAGTGACAAACATTAGTCCGCGGGATGACAAAAACCAACCTCACACCCAGATGAGTGTAACTTGCAAAATCGCACACACGGGTCGCGCCGCGATTTGCTGAGCTAATCTCTCCACTGTATGTGCCGTGATCATTTACAGGGCATATCTTTGCGTGTGGAATTCATTATTCATCAGTCGAATACTGTATTGTATTAAAGCTCAACGCAGGCTTAACACTGGGTGTAGCCCTTTAAAAGCATATTACTTTACAAGACACACCCTATATTCTTGGTTCTTTCGGTAAAGTCACGTATAAGGGAAACAATAAAATGTTCTTGCTGTGGTATTCACACCTGATGATGATTGCTTGTGTTGCAGTCGAAACGTGGTGAGAATTTTATTGTTTTATATTTTTATTATTTTATTGCTTCCCTTCTATGTGACTTTACCGAAAGAACCAAGAATATGAATCCCTGCAGTCACGAAAGCTTTAAATAAAGATTTAAAACACACCCTGTATATAATTCAATATCAGAAGCTATCGTCCCTTCTAGCGATGCCTCCTATACAAGCGGAACTAACTTTTCTTTCGTCAAATTGTTTTGCCCTTTAACTCGTGTAATCGTAAAGGGCTGAAAAACACTATAAACATTCATATTGCAGTGCTTTGTCAAAAGCACTGATGGACGTAGGCCTCTTCTCTGTCGATCACGGAGGTTGTTTGATCTTACTTTAATCAAAACTGGTCAGTCCAGGTTAGTGAAACGGGGTGGAGGGTGGCCCAGAAAGGGTTCAGATTTCACGCGCCACCCATGTAACCCACGGAGGTTTGTGGAGGGTCGCGCGTACCACAAGTTGCCATCCACAACGCACGTGTGTGGCGGTGTTTAAAGGCATGATTTCGTTGGTTCGCATTCGGGTACATTACGTGGCTTTAAATGTACACGTTACAGCGCTTCGTCAATGAAAGTGCTGGGATGAGGGTCATGGATGGGGGTTATTGGCCACCGGCGTGGTTTGGAGAAGAGGGGAAAACATCGTGGCAGCATATAAAGTACCGTGTACTAGAGTAAATCCTCTGTACAAAAGTGAAACGTGTCCTGCTGAAACGATTATGGGCCTGGGGGTGGCGGCACTCAGCTCCTATTTACGGCCCTAAGCCGGTGGTGGAGACTTCGCATTCCACATTCCCACGGCAGGAGAAAGTGATTGCAAGGCACAAGCCATTCATTATTAACGTATTAATCGCACACTTAATCACCATCAGCAGCAGCCACGACCAATCCACTGCTGGATAAAAGCACCCTGCAATGTAAACAAAATCCCCATGCACACAAGCTGATTTCACGGCTCCGTCTCTGCGATGGTAGTGACACAATGTAAGAGTCACAAAACACACAACTTCTACATTGAACACCGATGCATATTTAAAAGTTCAAAAACATCTACAAAAAGTTAAATATTAACACGAAAACATTTTAAAAAAGTAAGTTGAACCCATCAATACTTAGATTTGAATTTAGTATATTAACCCAAAAAAGTGAATATATTTCACATTATCTCTATGAATACTTTGAAAGGCATTAGTAAATTCACTTGCTGATTAGAAATATTTCAACATTAACTCCGAAAAGGTATCTGGAATAAGCTTGAGTAAAAATGCATGTTCATCAACATCCATCATCAGCAATGGTCAATCCACTGCTGGATGAATGCCTCTCCAACCAATGCTTCATTTTATATTTGTATTTATTAGGATTCATGATTAGATTTTTTAAAGACAAGATCTTGGCTTATTAAAATGTCCACGCAGGTCAGCCTTGCCCATCAACACCATAATTTACCACACACACGCACTACACACAAGTAATAATTTAAACAAACAATATTCGGGTAACTTGTGCTTAAGGGTAGTGTCCAATTAAGCACACGTTTAGCCAACAGCAGCTAAAAACACTTGGTTGATAAAATGCAAATATCCGGCTTTGCATCTCCTTGAATACCATCACACACGTACACAACTTCAATCTTAATTTCCTCAAACTCTCAACAATGCAAGATGCTACAAATGTTAGGATTTTAAACACAACAGACCGCTCAAGAAACAAACACATTATTTAAATACTGTATAGAATTTTTTTTTTACCCAAAAACAGTGAATATACTTTGCATTATTCTAAAAGACCCCACTTATTTAAATTTATCTAACCTTGCAACTCGCTGCATACCACCACATGTCAAATAGCTCCGAATGATATTTACTTCATTGCTATACCTTTTACTTATTTAAGCTTTTGTAATTTTGGTGACCCACATGTCACACTTGCAAAGACTTTCTCCTGGTTTAACGAATATAAACTACAAACTTTAAACTGACCTGAAGTGCTGGGGATAGTTTCAAGTTGTGGTGTGCATTACAAGTTGTAATAAATGTTATGATTCTAAATAACACAACATATTTAGTCGTGCAACGTACACTCATTTATCAAACGTAGCAACTTTTCTCTCAATTTCTGCTTTTAAACAAAATCAACTTTAAATTTATAACACACACACACGCTACACATACACACAACTAACTTCACACTAAATCTCCTCAGCATTTCAGTCCAAACGTTACACGACAAACATTACGATTGTAAATAACACGACGTATACCATAACCAAACACACTCATCAAACAAACGTAGCAACTTTTCTCTCGACTTGCTTTCAAACAAAATAGATTTGACATTTCAAAACACGCAAACTACACCACACGACTTCCAGCTAAAACCCATTCAACCACTAAACCCATCACACCAAATTCGCGTTCGTTCGTCACCAACGCAACAAATTGCAAACCAACGTAACAAACTGCTCATCTTAACGCGGTGTAATTATTAACAAACAATCGCTTCTCTCGCCAGACAAGGCTTTCTTTGCAAGCAAGCAAGCAGCAACAAACTCCCTCACACAACACAGAGCGCGCACGGACTTAGCCCAGGCGGGGCCCAATTATGGGCATCGCCAGAGCCACGAACTAAATTAGGCGGTGGACCTGCTTCGTGCTTGAGGTACATGATGGAGAGCGTGTAGTGCATCAGGTCGAATATCGGGAACATCGGCACCCGCGCGAACTGCACCGCCACGTCCTCCAAGCCGAAATCCGACAGCAGCCCCATCGCTCCGTTTTGCTGTTCCCTTGAAATCGCGAAATTCACTCGGGCGCCGTTGAGGGTGAAGGGGGGTGAGGGTGGAAAGGGCGGGTCGACAAAGACACGCCGACACACGCGCCAAAGACGTCTGTCCTTCCTGTCCTCTACGAGTCGCCAACACGTCTGTCTGTCTTCGCCCCCAGTAGCGACCGGCCACAGGTTTTTTACGCGATTCGTAAATTGGCAAGCCGATCGCTCGCTCGCGCGCGCGTGTGCTACCCCACCGCGCTTTCCGTAGTGGGGGGGGGGGGGTTTGTGACGTCAACGCGTACAGGGGTTGGGGGGGGTGCTTGCAAAGTCGCCCTTGCGTCCGGATGACGTCGTCGCGTCGCCGCGTGATGTCATTACGCACCCCCCTCCTCTCCCCCCCGGTTCGACGTTGCTCTCATCGCGCGCGCGCGCCATCAATCGTGATACGAAATGACGTCATTACGTAGCGCACAAGTTCGGGGCGTTGCAGGGTATCTGACATCACCTGCCCGAGGAGTGACAGTCGTCGTGACGTCACGCTGTAGTTTAAGTTGCTGAATGACGCCACACTTTAAGGTGACTACAGTCTTAGGATTCAGTGACACCGGAATCAGAGTATTTATTTTTACTGCAGGAAGAATCCGATGAGCTATAAACCTTTTTGACAGATGTCCAGTAGGGGCAGGTCAAAACGTTACAACAAACAATAGAAAAACACGAAAGCAATGCAAAGTATAGGAAAATTAAAGAAATTACTTATGAATATAGAAGTTAAACTAAACAATTGTTTTAATTATACCAGGTAAGGCCCACTGGTCTATCAGCTTCTTTTTCAGATGCGACCTGGCCACAAGTGACAGCTCAACAAAGTGGCTTAACACGTCCACATTTATAGCAGCCAAATAATCTTAAATAATCTAAACGCAATCGAATAAAATGTAGACATATCTTATTTTTTTTTTAAAGCAGGGACCCTAAGGACCGAACGGCTTTCACAATTTTTTAAATTAAATTTGCGATAGGAGAACAATGCATTACGCTTTATCAGCAGCGTTGGTGTACGGTGCTTTTTTCAGAAATATTTTGCTGTTTTTTTTCATGGATTTTCTGTTTGCACAGTCACATAGTCACTTTAAGATGTTTTTCTTGTTCGTGTTTTTGTTTTTTTTGTTTGTTGTGGTTGCACCCGATTCAAGAGCCGAATGGCTCACAGGGCTATACCAAAAATAAAGAAATTGAAACTGAAACTTTAATAACACGACTATTCTATAAACTGTTATGAACAACATTGCTGTACTTATATACAGATGATTGCGGGATGATGATCATGATGTTGGTTTTTATATAGACGAATGTGAGATGCAATATGATTATGATGATCTCCATGTAGATGTGTGCAAGATGAATATCCCGATGATAAGTGCGAGATCATCTTCATACAGATATGTGTTCGATGATGATGATGATGATACGCTGAGTGCGAGGTGATGATGTTGAGCATCATGATCTTTATTATAAATTCGTTCACGATCATCAGTACAATCATTATGATCATGATGCTGATAGATAAATAGGTGCATGCGAGGTGATGGTGATAATTACAGTATAATAAAGAAACACATCTTTGTTTCGCGTTTTAATGTCTCATTTTCACCGGCCCATAGGACACAGCGGTAATTATTTTTTTTATTTCAAAGCAGAATACATCCCTAATTCATGAATAATATCTTCGTTACAATTAATTCGATCGTTTTTTATTCATGCATCGCTACATCATCTACAGACCTTTGTCAATCCAATACTGAACGACAGCCTCCCCGCATCTTTTCGGTCATGGGCGATTGTTTGACCATACTTCACCACGATTTGTTCAAGCTGCGCGTTATTGGTACACGGCGGTGCCTAGAACCGGCTCAGATGTCACTCGCCACTGTTGCAAGCAGGGCCGGATTAAGATTGTGTAGGCCCCTGGGCTACAGGTACTGTGAGGCCCCTGGGCTACAGGTACTGTGAGGCCCCTGGGCTACAGGTACTGTGAGGCCCCTGGGCTACAGGTACTGTGAGGCCCCTGGGCTACAGGTACTGTGAGGCCCCTGGGCTACGGGTATTGTGAGGCCCCTGGGTTACAGCTACTGTGAGGCCCCTGGGCTACAGGTACTGTGAGGCCCCTGGGTTACAGGTACCGTGAGGCCCCTGGGCTACAGGAACTGTGAGGCCCCTGGGCTACAGGTACTGTGAGGCCCCTGGGCTACAGGTACTGTGAGGCCCCTGGGCTACAGGTACTGTGAGGCCCCTGGGCTACAGGTACTGTGAGGCCCCTGGGCTACAGGTACTGTGAGGCCCCTGGGCTACGGGTATTGTGAGGCCCCTGGGTTACAGCTACTGTGAGTCCGCTGGGCTACAGGTACTGTGAGGCCCCTGGGCTACAGGTACTGTGAGGCCCCTGGGCTACAGGTACTGTGAGGCCCCTGGGCTACAGCTACTGTGAGGCCCCCAGTAATATTTTCAAAAGGAAAACAAAGTTAAAGAAAAATACAATTTATTTTTACAAGGCTAACAACAAATAAAATTCAGCATTCACAAACGAAATAACTTTTCACTTAATCTCTGGAGGCCCTCCAGCTGGCGGAGGCCCCCTGGGCTGCCACCCCTAAAGCCCCCGTGCCTTAATCCGGCCCTGGTTGCAAGCCTGTGTTCGGGAATCGAACTCAGGTGGTGGCCAGGTTTCGCACCTCCACCTGCGAAAAACGGAGCCACGGAAATCATCTCAGGCGCGGGTGCTGCGTGGATCGTTAAATCGCAGGGCCCTTATAAGAGGTGGCGGCGGCTTTTTGGTAATGCCTTCATCCAGCAGTGGATCGATCATGCCTGACACTAACAATCACGATCAGTTCAACTAACAACCCGCCGCACGTATTCACTCAAGAGAGAGAGAGAACGACTCGGAGGTGGCATGACAAACCACAGACGAACGGGAAGGCAGCGGCAGCGGCAGCAGCAGCAGCCACGCAGTCAGCCGGCGCCAGTAATTGGCCCAGCTCTGCGGTCCTCTATATACGAAGGCGTTATCGGCCAATTGAGTGTTTAGATGTGGAAGGAAACCGGAGCACTCGGAGAAGAAAAAAAACCCATGCGTGCGAGGGGGAACCTATCTATTGCAATGCAGACTGATTGGGTGGATGGAAACACAGAGTATTACATTATATTTCTAAGTTTACTAGGTTTGTTTTCTCTTTCATTTGTACCTGATGATGATTGCTTGTGTTGCAATCGCAACGTCGTATGCTATTATTTAATTGTTTTTTTAATTTCTACGTGACTTTACCGAAAGAACCGAAGACGTGCTAAGATGTTCAACCACCACGTCGATTACCTTTTGCAATGCCTCAGGTCTCCATTAAGCACAATACCACTTATATATACTACACACAATACCACATATATATACTACACACAATACCACATATATATACTACACACAATACCACATATATACTTGAGTCCGCACTTTTCTGTACCGCCTTTTCCTGACGAGCCGCTAGGAGACGGCTCCTCCTCGACGCTCACGCGAAGGGAGTTTTTCACGACTTTCGTGCGGTGATCCACCAACCCTTGCAGGCAGCCACGTGCATAGCCACCAACCGCCCGGCTGATCATGTTATGTGAACTGAGGGTCACTAATCTTTGAAGAGCACACGTGTACATAACCTGTCCATCACCTGCGATGCATCACCACGTCAAATATACTGACTCGAACCCACGATGTGAACATTTTAAAAACACACTGATACCTATAATAATCATTATTATCGTTGTATTTGTTTAACCCACTGAGATGGGGTTGCTGGGTTGAAGTGAGTGACAGACAGAGATAGTGAGCAGAAATAAGGACTGGTGTAGGCCTTTATCCAGGAGTGGATCGAACATGGCTAATGTTAATGTATGTGCACTTGTGTATGAAAAGCCCATGACACAATAATAGTAAAGTTACGTAGAAGGGAATCAATAAAATAATAAAAATACAAAACAATAAAATTATCACGACGTTTCGACTGCAACACAAGCAATCATCTTGAGGTGTGAAAGCCACAGCAATACATTTTGAAAAAAGTGGCGTTTTTTTCTTGCTGTGGTTTTCACACCTGATGATGATTGCTTGTGTTGCAGTCGAAACGTCATGAGAATTTTATTGTTTTATATTTTTATTATTGTATTGTTTCCCTTCTACGTAACTTTACCGAAAGAACCAAGAATATGAATCCTTGCAGTCACGAAAGCTTTAAATAAAAAAAATACAATAATAGTATTTGTTGTGCGTCGTTGCCAAGATAAGTTACACTAAATAGATAAAGCTGGCATAATTCCTACTTGCCGTATGTGACTTGCCACGTAACGCAAAATATATAATTGAACTACAGCATTTGTTGGTCACGCCGTATGCCTTACGGCATTCTGGGAGTGGTTTAATTTCCAGCAGCATTGGTTTAAAACAAGCAAAAGCTGGTCGGGTTTCGACATTCAGTGTCTCATCAGCAAATTCGGGCTTGCATGCATGCATATATATAAGTACACCACCAGCAAAGCATCACCACATGCAATGCGCCCGCAACCCAACGATGTTAAATTTGCAAACAGCCTGAACCTTATAAACCATTATTATTCTCATTTTTGTTTAAGCCACTGAGATGGGTGGGGTGGTTGCAGTGCTGAAATGATAGAGATCCTGGGGGGAGATGTGTAGAGTGTGGATGGAGGGGTTGGATGGATAGTGGGGGGGGGGATGGGGGGTGGGTTGGGGGGTGGGGTGGGGGGTGCATGTGGGGTGGGGGTGAGAATGGTGATTAACCCTCTACCACCCCCCCCCCCTAAAAAAAATAGCAAACACATATCGATGTAATACTTTCAGTGTGGTTCAATGAAAAAATAATTTATCCCCTTCAATAGCAAGGTTGGGGTAAGCCTTATCTGGAGCTCAGCAGGGATGTCGGCTCGGCTAT